GATATACACTCAGAGTAACACCACAAATATCATATTCACCTGAGTGCACTACACCAACACAGAAAAAATTCATATTACTAGAAAACATTGGTATTGAAGGAACTAGATCCTGTTCCGAAATATCACTTACTCGAACCGTCCTGACCGCGTAGCTCAGTTGGAAGAGCATTGGGCTAGTATTCCAAAGGTCGTAGGTTCGAATCCCACCGTGGCCGGGCATATTTTTCAAGCTCGCCCGGTGTGGATATACACTCAGAGTAACACCACAAATATCATATTCACCTGAGTGCACTACACCAACACAGAAAAAAATAAAACAGTGTACTTGTAAAGTTGTAAAAATGCTTCTTTATATTTATATCACTATACTGGCACCTGGGCAAGATCAGATGGCCAAAAACAAATGCCTTGGGAGGCTGTAAAAACGCCTTCGCTTCTGGCATATTTTTGTCAGTCTATATAAATTTTAAAGTTTATGGTGTTACGGTACTCTGAGTGTGTATCCACACCGGGCAAGCTGAAAAGTTTGCCTGACTACAATGGAAATCAAACCTGCTACCTTTGTCCTTTGCGGTACTAGTCCAATGCTCTACCAACTGAGCTTCAAGGTGAAGTCGGTTTGAGTTGGTGATATTTAATTTCAGAACTGAGTCTAGTCACTTCGATATCAATGTATTCTAAGATATGATGAGCATGACTAGGGCAACTGATTGGTAGCAAATAACTGGAGTTCTCATACCTCATCGTTGTTTTACAATCTATGGTGATATTTCAGAACTAAGTCTAGTTCCTTCATGGATAACATATGGTTCCTTCGATATCAATGTATAATTCTAAGATCTATGATAAGCATGACAATGGGCAAATGATTGGTAGGAAATAACTGAAGTATTTATACCTCATCCTTACGCGTCTAGCACCAGTAAAAACCTTCAATGCATCATAACACTTTCTATATTAGCTGGAACTAGCATTTTAGTTTTGTATATAGGAAGTGTTTTTGTTTGTGTTTTGTTTTTATACTTCAACAGGCAAGAGTGCGGACGGGACTCTAAGCCGCAAGGTACTCTCCCGTTTCAATTAGATTTACAACGATAATAATATACAAGTACACATACATACCCACTAAAGCGGACATTCGTCCGACACCGGATTCCAAGTTATATTTCGATGCTATTCGTCCGACAGACTTCAGGTCAGACCACGGTGTCGAGTCAGATGTATTTTCCTCGTTCTTTAAACATGCTGAACTCGCCTTGTGCACGCTATGTACGCTCAAACAAGAAGCCATATTCATAAAAAAAACATCAAAACCATATTCAGCTAGATTCTTTTACTATTAGATATTAGAGTTTTAATAATTTAAAACAAACTACGAGCTGTCAGGCTGTTTTAATACACCGCGCTATAAAAACAACAACATTTAGTAACCACGCGAATGCAAAGTCCCGCGTGTCGCACGCGTGTGTTGAATTCTGGAACGTGGACAGACCCAGGCATTAATGTACCTGAGTGTTCTACAAAGAAATTTAAAGGTAAACAAGAAGCTCACGCCATAGCGAGTAAACTCGAGGAGGCGGCGTTTCTATGTATTGCGAGATTAGACGATGAACTTCAAGATGACCCAAAAGAAGTTAAAGCTGCTTTAAGGAAGGAATTCGACAAAGAATCGATCGACCATGAGAAAGCTGTCGACGAATTACGAGGTTTAAGGCGAAAAGGCGGTGAAACACCAGCACAGTTAGCGTGGAGAATCGAAAAGTTGATGGCGACGGCTTACCCGGAGTTATGCGCGTCAACACACGGATCGGCAAAGAAAACAAAGGAACAAATGTTACATGATACCTTTTTGGGAGCTATTGACAATGCAATGAGCCGAAAGATAAAGAGCGACAGTAAACATCGAGATTTAAATTTAACACAACTTTCTGAAGAATTAGATCGGCTCGAGCTAATTTATAAAACAACAGCGCCAAAAGTAAACCTCGAAGTAAACAATTTCAAAACGACAGGGGAAGCAGACGTAATATCGTTAAGAAAGATAATCAGAGAAGAGGTAGAAGCCGCCCTATCCAAAGAAAACGATGGAAGTCGGGAAACGGGGGAAGGAACAAAACGTACAGTCGAGTTCGTTGGAAAGAGAAATTTCCCGCCAAAACCTAGGAGTGGAAAAACCAGTAAAAATTAAGCGTGTTTCCACTGCCAGTCGCCTGAACATTTTCGGAAAGACTGTCCATTTAAAGATCTTTGTCAACGCTGCTGGCAAGAGGGCCATGCAGCACCATCTTGCCATGCTCCAAGCCCTCGCCCTTCGCCGTCTAAAAAACTCCAAGGCGGCTGGGAACAATCGACAGCAAAAATAAATTCGTTCTCAGCCGCGAAGAAATTTATTACACTAACTGGTACAGTGGTTCAGTCTGGAAGCAGAGAGTTCAAGCATGAGTTTATTTGTGATTCTGGAGCAGAGGTTTCAGTTATTCCAACGGTGTTAGCACAGGAACATTACATGAAAATTCAACCAACTACCCGTCACTAGAGATGGCTAATGGAACACACGCAGAATGCAGTGGTGTGGTTCAAACATCAGTTACGGTAGGGACAAATAGTTGTATATTGAGTTTTTTTGTGGTAAGTCGTGTTCAAAACGTGATTCTGGGCCTGGACTCTTTGGGAAAATTGGGTGTATCGTTGAACACAAGAAAAAAATTGGCAACAATAGATGGGGCCCAACTCGCTTTACAACCGGAAGTAGATACCCCTCAGGAAATGCTAAAGTGTTGCCGCATACGAGTTGCGGAAAGTCGTGATATTAAGCCATTTGAAGAAATATTCATTTGGGGTAAATTGGAAGATAAGAATGAAAAATTTACTAGAGATTCGTATATCGAAGATACGGTGCATTTTCAGCAGAGAACTGGGTTTCTTACAGCCCCGAAAAAGATTTCGACAGAAATGATGAACGATGAAAACAAAATCCCCATATGCGTACTGAATACTACTGATAAATCAATCAGAGTTTATAGAGAACAAACTGCGGCCACAATTCAGGAACTGCCAAGTACCCACAACATAGCACATATTTCAGAGTCAAATATGGGGGGAAATAATCCATCATCACAATATGACCCGGTCCCAGAAGTATCAGTTGGTGAACAATTGACAACACAACAAAGCGAAAACCTAGAAGTTTTAATTCGAAAAAATACACACTTTTTCGACTACCCAGGAAACAGTGGGTTCACCACAACAATAGAGCACACAATATCCACAGCCGTATCTGATCCAATTGTGTGCCACTCCAGACGATACAACCTGGGGTTAACACAAAAAAATTAATGAAGCAGTAGGAAACCATGTAAAGTGGGGACAATTGACACCCTCTAAGTCCCCTTGGGCATTTCCAATTGTACCTGTATTGAAACCAGATAAAACAGTTCGATTGTGTGTAGACTACAGACCACTTAGCAAAATTACCCAGAATGACCCATATCCAACTGGAAATTTGCAAGAGGTTCTAGACAATCTATCAGATGCTAACTATTTTAGTGTTATTGACTTGGCCCAAGGTTATTTGCAGGTCCCACTGGCCAAGGAAGATCGACCAAAGACAGCGTTTCGATCACCTACTGGGTTTTGGGAATGGACAAGAATGCCATATGGTTTAAAAGGAAGTCCGGCAACTTTTTCTCGGTTGATGCAGAAGGTTCTAGGACACATTCCACCACATCGGTTGGCATTGTACATGGATGATATCTGTATTATTAGCAATACATTTGAGGAACATTTGGTAAATCTCCAGGGAGCATTTGATGCATTGCGACAGCATGGATTACGAGTTAAAGCTAAGAAACGTGCTTTCGCAATGAAAGAAGTGAAATTGCTTGGACACAAAGTTTGCAACAAGGGTGTGCAGCCAGAGGAACATAAAGTAAAGGCAATTCGTGCATGGGTTGCACCAACTTGTCTTAAAGAGGTGCAAATGTTTTTGGGTGCAGTTGGGTGGTATCGGAAGTTTATCAAGGATTTTATTACAATTGCTCGACCATTAACAACGCTTTTGGAGAAAGATGTCACATTCACTTGGGGTAAGGAGCAAGATGATACATTCAATACACTAAGACATGAGTTGGTTGAAGCTCCAGTATTACCCCATCCTGACCCCACTCGACCCTTTGTTGTTACCACGGATGCAAGTAAAGTGGGTCTTGGTGGTGAACTATCACAAGAAGATGCACAAGGACAATTACATCCGGTTGCATATTTCAGTCGTGCATTGTCCAAACGAGAACGTTCATATCCAACTTATGACAGATAAGTGATGGATATGCGAGACACGCTTAAGCATTTTCTGTATTATCTGTTAGGAGCACAAGAAGTGATGAGGACCGACCACAAACCTGTTCTAAAGATCCTGGAACAGAAAAATCCATTTGGACAAAGAGCGACATTGATGAGAGATATAGCAGAATTCGAGCCACGCATAGAGTTTATTCGAGGGCAGGATAATCACATGGCAGATGCTCTTAGTCGGATCGGATGTCAAGTGGGAAGAGAGAGATGAGGATACTAGTAAAGTGGCTACTATTGGTGGCTCTCAAGAGGAGATTGGTCCATGCAAGGATGTAAGGTTGGACATAAATGATTTTCAATTGCAGCAAGAACGTGATCCAATCCTTAAGCCACATATTTCCACTCACCGAAACGAACATGGTTTATTCACACGAGACCATAAGAAGCAAGTGTTACTTCCAGCATCGCTTGTTCCCATCATATTATCATTATCTCATGACGAAACAGGGCACCAAGGAGCAGATAAAAGCCTTGCAAGAACTGAACCTCATTATTGGTGGCCAAAGATGAAAGCAGAAGTAGAGAACTATGGAAAAACGTGCCAACGCTGTGCTGCTACTCTTGCCCATGGACATAGAAAAGCACCCATTCATCAACGACAAAAATAAGAGAAACCATTTGTGTTGTTAGAAGTAGATCTCAAGGGTCCATTACCGAGAACGAAAGAGGGATTTGACAATATTGTTGTGATAACAGATCCATGTACAAAATATGCAGAGATGCATCCAATTCGAGGACAAACCAGCCAAGTTGTTTGTAAGACACTCATGGGTTGGATATCAAGATATGGTTTACCAAACAAAGTGCACTCTGACAATGGACCTTGTTTCATAAGCGAAACATTTGAACAGTTTTGCATAACCCAAGGCATTGAGCATATTTTCAGTCCTCCCTATAGGCCACAAGGAAACGCGGGTGTAGAACGGATTAATCGTACGATGGGGGAACCACTCACAAAATTGTAGATAAACATCCCAATCGATGGTCTCAACATCTACCTGACGTACAACTAGCATGTACAACACAGCAGTTCATACAAGTACAGGAGTTTCGCCGTACGAACTAGTTTTCAAGGAGCACCCGCGATCAAAATTCGAACTTATAACAGAGAAGATATCACCAGCAACGGTTAGAGAGAAAATGGAACGACTGCGCGAGACTGTTAGTGAGGTATTCCAAAAAGCACAAGAGTCCGATGACAAGTTAGCGGAAAAACGCAGAGAACGGTACAACAGTAAAACTTCGTTTAAATCGTTGGGGGTGGGTCAACAAGTTTGGAAAAGAAATTTACAAAATTGCAGATCGGTGGACGGGACCCTATGTCGTGGTAAAGCCCTCGTCGGTAACCAAAACATCTTATGTAGTGAGAAGGAATAATGGAACTAAAGAAGAAATTGTCCATTACAATTACCTTAAACCTTATCAGATTCGACCTGTCAAGAAACCAAAGTCAAGGAATCCACCAAAGAAGAATGGGGTCGGACACCCAGCACTGGGTACCAGTGAGGACAGTGAATCTGACAGCAGAGAAGAGGAAATGCAACCAGAGAGATCTCCAGAAAGAATTCGAATACCTCCTGAAAAAATACACATAATACTTTTAAAGGGGGGAGTGGTGTGATATATTGACCTTTATAGTTACATTGAAATAGATACTCGTAAATAGCAAGCCTGTTTGCAGGCTATTAGGCATGGACCTTCGGGCTTAATAATTAACTTGAAGCTAGGACTATTATTGTACATGTGTTCGGGGTAATACAATATATAAATTTACAACGCGCCCGCGATCATTGAACTTTTGACTTCGCTAATGGTTTCCTTTCCCCGGCTGTAAATAGCCGGTCGGAATTAGTGCCCTCGCTCCGTGCTAACGCGCAGAACGGCGCTCCGCGCCGTTGGCTCGGGGACAAGCACTGTACATTTGTATTTCTTCGTAGTTCGAACGCGCACTCCTTGAAGCAGCCCATTGAACTATAACTGGAAGGCTAGGTCAGGGGGGGGGGGGAGTTGAAGTCGTGCTTGAAGCTTTTTTTGTAAGTAGATCCAGTCCTTTTTAAATTTTTTTTCAATATATGCACATTTTTTATCAGAATAATCTTGCCCCAACATATTAGTTATACCACCGAATTTAATTTATATCAGTAGTATGATAAACGAATTTAATATTCGCAAAGCAAACAAATCACGTATTAGCAAAAAAATACGAAAAAACACGACCATAAGCCATTCTCATACCCAGAGTCCTTCTTACGCGCGGTCGACGGAACGCGACGAGGGGCTCTGGCCAAATCCATATCAAACTGGCATCTGATTGGCCACAATGAAGGTTATTGTTCTAATATAGGATATATTCTATTACAATGTTTTATGGTATCCGGTTATGGATTTGGCCAGAGGCTCTCGTCGCAATGCGCGTAAGAAGTGCTCTGGGTACGAGAATGGACCATAAGCATGGACGATCAGAAAAACCGCGCGTTTTAGGCTGCTTTTTCTGAGTTTTTGAAAGTTTAAGATAAAACTAAGACGTCATACCTCAGGAATTCTTTAAACCCATGCAAAAAAAAATCGGTATGCGAAGTTTCAAGAAGATTGAACGTTAAAAGTTTGCAAAGATATTGCCATATTCAAAGCTCTCATAGTGGCCAACAAGAAGAGCGAAGACGAAAATAACATCACTTGAAAAGCCCCAATTTATTTACGTTTTAGAAGGAATAAAACAAGGACTAAAAGCTCAGGATCAATAACAATACCTGGGGTTTAGTACAACATAAATTGTGGGACTGTAGACCAATCAAATCACTTCTGCCCAGGGCTTATGGCAACGAATGCAGCCGAGAAGTCCTGGGAACGAGGATGAATTCAACTGCATTTTGTCAAGAGTTTTTAATTCTTTATTTTAATTGAAGATAAAATAACACTTTGTGAGAAAACTGCGGGTCTACGGAGCGGGAACTTTTCGGATTTGAACTCAGCGTGCTTGAAAGTGTTAGTTCCCGTAAAAATATTTTAGATCTAAGACATGCAATATACTTCTTGTGTGTGTTGGTGTTGTGTACTCAGGTGAATATGTTTGTGATGTTACTCTGAGTGTGCATCCACACCGAGCCGAGTTCAGTTGGTAGAGCATTCGGACAAAGATCGCAGGTTCGATTCCCACCATGGTCAGGCAAACTTTTCAGCTTGCCCGATGTGCATGCACACTCAGAATAATCTCTAACATCAATTTACAATGTAGGGACCCATAATAAAATAAATATGTAGGGGATCCATAATAAAATAAAATAATTTACAATATTCTAGTAATCTATGTCACTGTTATACTTGTTTCTTGGATTATCTCTGTCCCATGGTCCACTTTTCACAATCAACAATGCTGTACTGTAGAGTAATATCCACCAAGCACACATAATTTATTGGTTGTAGATCACAGTTATATCCAGTTTGCCCTTGTAAATTTATTGGTTGTAGATCACAGTTACATCCAGTTTGCTCTTGTAAATTTATTGGTGACAGCACACTGTCGGTTGGATTGTTGGAGAAGGTGGCAGAATATCGAAATTCCACAAAATAACATTCTCAGAGATAAGAGATTGTCCTGTTCCATCTTGCCCGAGATCACTGAGGTCAGAGAACTGCAACATATGAAAACAAATATTCAGTTTAACAAAGTACAATATTAAATAAAGCAGGGCACATGCGGGGACAGTGCGACTCAATGGGTTAAATAGACACAAGGGCAGATAGGCCAGCTGCCATTAGACAGAGTAAAACAATCTGGCATGAGACAGAGTAATGTAACGTGACTCATGCAATTCAATGGATAATAAAATAAATTACTTTAATAGTATTCAAAAACTCATTAATAATTCATGAAGCAATTATCCAATCTTGAGTAAGAAATTAGTCACGTGCATACGTCTTTATAGCAGCTAAAGAACACTTTAACAAAAGACCATTGTTATGCAAACTATATAAAGATTTTTATATAAAGATTTTTATATAAAGATTTGACTTATTATGCATACGTTTTTGAAGTCATTTAAAAACTCGCGGGTCGTGTTTTATTAGGTCTAAAGCCACTCGCGCTGCGCGCTCGTGGCTTTAAACCTAATAAAACACTCCTGCTCGTTTTTTAAATAGTACATAAAATACCAAAGTAATCAAACCTCTATGATCAAACCAAATGAACAGTCTAAGCTTCTCTAACTTAAACTATTTTAGCTCTATATGCATATATTCAAAATGGAAAGCACAAATATTGTTACCAACATTGAATGGCTATAAAAATCTGCATCATAGAAAAAGCATTGTGTAGGTACATTGCCTTTGTATTCGCTTTAACGATTAAAGCAAACGACTTACCCTAAAAGCACAACTGGAATGTATCTCTATCAATGCTGGGCTTTTGCAATCGGCGAATATTTCATCAACTTTTAGAGACAAATAGACAATTAAAATAGCGATTCTTCTGATATGCAAACTATCCAAAAAACTGATGTGAATCTCACGGCATTCAAAACTGAACACACGATAACCCATAGGAACCAACAGCGTATAGGCTCTGACGATACACAATCAACAAAAAGAAGATCGTGTCGTTCCAAAACTGAAGCTTTATGGCGGTGGTCGGCTTTACAAAATCCGCCATAGTTGTCACTCTTGTTGTTTTGATTGTGAAGGTCAAGCGAACAATAACCGCCCGCTCATGGAAAATCAATAATATATAATTAATTGGAATAATCGCAATGCATAACGGTATAGTGACCACTCCTCCTCTGGCGGTACACTGTGAATTCAAAAGTGTCAAAAGTATGGAAAAGCAGTCGTTTTGGGGTAAAATGTAATGTTATGATTTGTCGTGTTTAAATTTTGCAATAATTATCACTAAAATATCTATAACGAATCACAAAACTCAAAAAACTCCGTGTGACACAAAACTTATACATGTGAACTCGACTAGCTATTTTCGGCCTGGTTGCGTAATTTTGGAACCTGGTGTAAAGACAATGATCGTGAATTTTTGAGATAGGAGTTATAAAAATGTCTTCAGCAGTTGGATACGCGGTTTTCAATTACTGGCTTTCAATAACCATGAAAGTTAAATAGTAATTATTGCTAACTAATGTGTTTTTCTCGACAATGCTGAACCAGTTTATCAGCCACGTCTTTCCTCGTAATCTTTTCCAGAGCATCAGTCAACAACCTAACGTATGCTCCACTTCCAATACCATTTTTCCAAGCATAAAGTACGTGCAATCCTTGTTCTTTTTGCCCATGATCATCTTCCAAAATGTTCTGAATTTTTGGTTCAGAAACGTTTAATTCTCTGCCTAAATCTTTCCAACTACTCCCAAGTTCGTCTGACACCAAATTCACACAGCATTTCTCGACACAACCTAAAACATAGAAAGGTAAGGATTTTCATTTACTATTACAATAACTGGAGCGAAATAATTATTGATTTATTTATAAATAAGGTGAACACCAGACGATATTGGCTGATTTGCGGTTACGTGGGTTTAGATTGTCGGAAACTGTGTTGTTTTTATCGTATTTGGTTTAATTATTAATTAGGGTTAACTATTTAGGGACATTAGAATATTTAGTTTGGTTGACATTTAATTATCACGTGGTAGATTTGAGCGGGATATAGAGTGTTGTTGACCTCCGTGTGCGAAGGAGTGATCAAATTTCGAACTGTGACTGCGATTTTAATATGAAGTTTATTTACCAATTCTTTTTGTGTATTTTATTTTGTGATCGTGTGGCCAGGGACTTCTTGAAAGGATCGAATCCCCTTTTTCAACAAGATAAAGTATCCCGCCGGGCAACAAGTGAATATTTTTTGTCCGCCCCGAGCAGCTCGGTTTGTAAACTAGCGATAATCTGTGAAGTTTGAAAGGGAAATAATGACCTAATAATCGCCCCTGACTAATCATCAGTCCGACCCCGATAGATAAATGAAGACAATGGTGGCATAACTCGCAACTTATAAACTACGATTTTCCAAGCTTGTGTTAAGATAAAGAATGTAAAAGAGATGAAAAATACACAACAGGCAACAGGATATGCCGTTCATTGTTGTGTTTTTTTTCCGTCGCTATATAACAACACACTTAATGTCTGTTCCCCAGATATAGTTTTTTTTCCTTGTCTTCTTCTCATCCCATACATTTGTCTTCGTACCAGGGTACATCGACGCTCTCGGAAAAACAAACTAACTATTTCCCTCCAGAGCAGACATTAAGTGTACAATATTATGCCTCACAATAATCTTGTCTAATCAGATAATGAGTTTTGCACTAGGTGACCATGATATTTTGAGCAAATACCATGTTCCTGAGTCTTTTCCCCAGGACATGGTATTCGACTCGAATACCGTTCATGAGCTGAAAATTGGACTTTGAATCTCCAACATGGCAAAATTAACATAATTAAACAGGAATTAAATGATTATCCCGAGCCAACGGCGCGCAGCTCCGTTCCGGGCGTAAGCCTTGGGCGAGGGCACTAATTCCGCCCGGCTATTTAGCCCCGGAGAAAGGAATGGAAAGCATTAGCGAAGTATAAGTTCATCAATGATCCCGGGCGTGGGTTATCGTAATATAGCGGACTGTCATG